GTGAGAGGGTTCCATGATTATTACCATCGAGTTAATCAATATCTTGATATCCACCGTCTAATCGTTCCCTCTCTTTGTCTAACACAGGAAAAACTAATGTCAACTCCAGCACGGCAGACCAAAACATTTATATTCTCAACATTCTAAATTGGACTTGGGTAGACACCTATATTCCAACCACTCTCGTCAATCACTACCACATAAAGTCATCATCGCCTTCCAGTTCGCTTTCCCGTAATATGATAATAGTCATAGCCGTTGGCGGTTCGGTGATCGTTTTATTATTATTAATGACATTGATTTACTGTCTGAACAGAAGATATAAGATTTTGGGGTTCCTGTGCGTGCAAAAAAGTTCTCCACCACAATCGCCGCCAAATGGTGATAGCGATCTGGAGAGGAGTGATGATGGGAGTAATGAGGACGAACCGAACTTACATGTTGTAGATAATAATCAGATGGTAGAACATCATGGATCTTTCGGCGGATCGATCGGGCAACCTAAGTCGCTTGACCCGGAGAGCGGCAATGAAATAAATGCACCTTTTACCCCCAGTGAATCGCCCTCATCATCTTCAGTGAAATTTCTGCAGTTATTGTCGAGTAACAATGGTACGAATACAAACAATAACGATTTTAAAATAGAAACAGTGATGGCTAGTAGCGAAAATCTGTTGACTGCAGCGGATCCGGTTGCATCACAGACGCCAAACCCGGAGTACAGAACGTCATCACCTGCGAGCGGCGCAAAAAATGTGAGAACTGTGAAATTCAGCGAAACAAATACAACCATTGCACCTACCGAATTCGGAAGTAGCAATAATAGTATGGAGAGTCTGAGGATAACCAGTGAAGATGACAACAGAGTGATTGGAAATGACGAAGATGATAATCAAGCAGGCCCAAGTAATTCGTGGAGAAGCAGTTTGATGAACTTGGGTAGCATGAGTAATTTCTCGGGTTTAAGGAGAAACAGTTTCAGTTTCATATTTGGGAGGAATAGTAATAATTCAAGAAGCGATGAAGGTGGTTCCGCTGGAAGAAGATGGAGAAGTAATTCAGTTGGAGGCGGTAATAGGAGTAGAGGCAGGAGTAGAAGTTTTTTACATCGTAGGCGTTCAGCAGGTGATGAAGAGACGAGGTCCAGATCTAGCATCGATAGCGTAAACATTAGTAATATTGGCATAGGATGGGATGTACAACACCATCGTGGTGACTCAGTGGTCGTGGCGAGAAGTGAGTTGAGAGTTGTTAATCCGGATGTTCGTGATGAAAGCGAGGACAGTAGTTCCGAGACTGGATCATCTTCCGCTGAATCTGGTGGTCACCATTTGGAAGGAGAGAGTGAAACGTCATAGTCAAGATTTCAACTATTTTATAATTGTATATTTGAACCCCTCCATTTTATTAGAATTTTTAGAACAAAAAATTTTTTTCTTCTAATTTACCCTGATAAGAAACACTGGTTATTACTTACAGGGTAGTTAGAAGAAAATAGCTTGTACAGTATATTATTACTTTTAAATTTTTACCTTGTAATTAATTTTAATCAAAAAACTTTCCATTTTAATTTTAAAACAACCACAATGCATACTAAACACTTAAAAATAAAAATAAAATAAAACACCTGTATCAAAAAATACCTATTTATTGTATTAGAATCTACAGTCAGTATTCTTGGAAATTAATTCACTATTTTTTGAAATGATTGCCATAAACATTTTACACGTAAAATTACGTACTCGATACTCCTTGACACATGGTTACGCGTGAAATACTGTATGTACTGTAACCTTCGTCTTGTTTGGTGCTTCTACCAAGATCATTAACGGTACAGTATTGTACCATATTTTCATGATACTAGTCTTTAATGGTATTTAAAAATTATATTTAAAATATCACCTTTATTACTTTTTTATTCAGAAAATCAGGCAAATTGATTTTAAAAAACCACGGATATTTGACTCATCAATTTGAGAATTTGTTAGGATTTAAGAAATGTTGTAAATTACAATATTTTAATAACAACCAACAACTATTTAAAAATTAATATAAAATTTATCAATATGTTTTTCCAAGTCATATATTGTTGACCTCTTGCTTGACAAGTTTGTTGCTTCTCAGGTTAGAAACTCATATAATGCCAAAGGTAAAAAGAGATTTCTTTTCTTTTTCGAGATGCGTGATTTGATCTGATTGAATCTTGTTTAACAACTATTCTCTTTTTTTATATAGCAAGTACTAAAATCAAGAAAGTTAATTAATATTTACTTCTTTAGGTAATATCGATCCTACAACTTAATCAGCAAGATTGTTAAAGAATAAATTTTTATTATTATATAACAATCACGATTTTTTTTGAATAGATTATATTACAAACCAATAAAAAGAACAATTAAAACTTTTCTCCATTAACAATTCTTATAAAATAATTTAATAAAAAATTTTTATGGATTTTTTATAGTGTATAAATAATTTAAAAATAAAATTATAAATTAATAAACAGTCCGTTGCAAACGATTTTTTGAATAAATTCAAGTTTTTAATTTATTCATAAATTAATTATCAAATTAATAAAATATTAAACACATATATTTAAAATATAAAGATTCGAGTTATTTGAGAAATATTTTTAATTATACTGTATGGTAATAATATAATTAAATTCTGATTTAAAATTAAAAATGTGTTTTAAAGTTATGGTACGTTCAAATTTTGTTATATATTATAAACCATTAAAAAATTTAAGATTAATTATAAACGTATGGAATTTTATAATAAAATAACCTTTTAAAATTAATTTATATGTCATAATAGATATTTTATAATATGGGTAATTATTTTCGGAAATTTTCTGGTACTACAATACTACAATTGTGATCATTGTTTAAAAATAGGGTTCGAAAAATCATATCTAGCATTTTTGTCATATTTTCTGAGCTATTTGTATGATACGTATCATCACGATATTATATATTGTATGTAATGCGGAAATTTCACTTTACGCGAGGATATTGCCTTCCCTCTAAATAAGTATCTTATCAAACTTACCGTGTTTATTTTATATCAAATATAACTATACGCGAATTTATTTAATCTTTATATGTAACGAACGTTTACAAATATTTACAGTAACAGTAACATCTTAAACTCAGTATAACTTTAATATTAAACTTTTTAACGTCAACATCAAAGAATTAAACAAACGTTCGTTCCATATTAATTTATTTGATAAACGATTACGACAAAATAATTAAAAAAATACTTTATCGATACAAAAAAAAAATAAAAAATAAATTTATTTTCTTCGAACAAATGTAGGATTTAGTGAGATCAGCATCGCGGCCTGTAGATTCACGAATCAGTTAAACAACCTATCACCACCAAGTATAGCTATGACTCATATAGTTGGATATATATCTTTGACAACCTCTCTATACATTGCGAAAAAGTTGAGCAATTTTCGCTTGACTTTTTATTTTTTTTTAAATTAGTTTTTTTTTTTCGGTGGGTTTTTTTTTTTGAGAGGAAAGTGAGATTAAATTGGGATAAGATGCGCGAATTCAAAATCATAATTGTAATCTTTTTGTAAGGAGCCGCGAGCATCCCTTTGGTAAGTTTCATCTTTCATAATTTTTAAGATTATTCACCATATTTACCTTGCATTTTATTTTCCAGAGAAGCGTAAGGCCGAGGCTGAAAGAATCAGATAGAAATACCCTGATAAGATAACTTACAACTATAAAATGGCAGAATTTGTTTTTCCATCAATAGCTGGTCGATTTGTTAACAGGAGGTTGGCTTGGTTTGTTTTTATTACTAATAACCTAACAAATATTAGGTTATCTGTGAAAAAGTCGAAAAATCCGACA